ATGGTGGGAAATCAGAACCGTGACCGAAAGCAACAGTCAGCAAGGATGTATATCTTCTCAATAAGTGTGTTTATCTGGGAAGGGTGCTATTGGATAGATTGAGTGTGTTGTGATTTGTTCACAGCCATACCTTCCGCTGTTCAAGATAATTATGACTGGTAGATAATTAGTTATTAGCGGTACTGCATTTTAATATTAGAAAGTGCAAATCCGCTTATGAATTATAAAAATTAGTAAGACTGTAAAAGCGCAACAAAATATTTAGGTCCGTAATTACCGGATTTGCTCTTTAGCGGGCTGGTGCCCACCACTGAAGACAGGAGACAAACCAAACACTCCTAGTGCTGAAATCGTCTGAGTTTTAGGCTCTGTTTTATTAACAGTGTTTGTGTACACAAAAGATCCATGAAGTGTTTTAAACCTGAATCTTTTTCATGTTGTACACAAGTTCATAACTCAAAAGATGAATTTCTGACAGAAGTGGGCTACTAATCCTTTTATTTTTTAGAAAATAGAAGATTTTTGTCAATCAGTAAAAGAAAACATTCCATGTTAATACACTTTATTTCAGTATCATGAGAAGATAAAAATTCAAACCCATTTTAAAGATGTTTGTGTTTTATTAACTGGTGTTTTTACTGAACACACTAAAAAAACTTTCATGCCTGTGCCCTCTGGAGAAAGAGATGTTCTTAAAAAAAGTCAGAGATAATTGCTAGAGAAAAAAAATTCAAATGTATTTATGCTTTTATATGTTCTCTTTTTATTTCTTGTGTCAGTAACAAATAGTGACCTATATTTCTGGGCATATTTTCTTTTCCATCCATCCATTATCTTCCTATTATTCCAAGCAGCTTGAGCAGAGAGACCCAGAACTCTCTTTCCCCAGCAACCTCTTCCAGCTCTTCTGGGAGGACTCCAAGGAGTTCCCAGGACAGACAAGAGACAAGAGTCCAGCATGTCCTGCCTGGTTCTTCCTCGGGCTCTCTTCACAGTTGGACACTCATCTGTCCAGGAGTCATCCTTAACAGATGAACCACCTCAACTGGCTCCTCTGGATGTGGAGGAGCAGCGGCTCTACTCTGAGTCTCCGAGAGTCCAGCTACCCTGCGGAGAACTCATTTCGACTGCTTGTGTCCACGATCTCATTCTTTCGTTCACTACCCAAAGTTTGCGGCCATAGGTGAGGCCCGTCACAAACACCATGTTCAAACAAAAGGGTGTCCATAAGTGCACGTGGCACCAGGACACCCTAGGTCGTAAATAAAATATTTACTTGGTAGTTGAGTCATCTCATCTGTGACCGTGTGTTTTGGACACTCTGGTGAAGAGAGGAACTGAGCTGTCAACCAATCACCACCTGGTGGTGAGTTGGATGCTGGGGGAAGATGCCGGACAGACCTGGTAGACCCAAACATGTAGTCACGGTTTTCCAGGAACACCTGGCAGAAAAACTCATCAAAGATTTTCAATTCACAACTCTGAGAGAACTTTGACCTCATCTCACCTGAGGTGGGGGACATTGAGTCAGAGTGGGCCATGTACCACAACTCACTTATTGAAGGGGCTGCCTTGAGCTGTGGCTGCAAGATTGTCGGTGCTTTTCGTGGTGGCTATCCTTGACTTGGTGGTGTACATCCTAGGTAAGGGAGGCTGTCAAGCTGAAGAAGACGTCCTATCGGGCCTTGTTGACTGGTAGGACTCCGGAGGCAACTGAGGAGTCCCTAGGGATATGCTTCAGGCATGTCCAACTGGGAGGAAGGCCTGAGGAAGACCCAGGACATGCTGAACATGTCTTGCCTGGGAATGCCTTGGAGTCCTCCCAGAAGAGATGGAAGAGGTAACTGAGGAAAGAGAGGTCTGGGCTTCCCTAATCAAGCTGCTAGCCCTGCGACCTGACTCTGGAACAAGTGGAAAATGATGGATGGATGGATGGATGGATGGATGGATAGAAGGATGGATGTGAAGAAAATTTTATTCTGTTTATCACTGATTTTGAATGCATCCCACATACTGTTTTATTTTGAGGTTAACTAGGATGTATTTTGCGTAATTATCTATTTTTATGATTAAACTGTGACTTAGTTGAGGTACAATCTTGTGTGAGTGACCTGTCACAGTCAACTCAGAGTATACTCTCCTTAATGCATTAATCAATACATGCCTTAATCACACAACACATAACTTTTGTTCCCACTCTTACATAGGGAGTTCTTCCCTGGATCTGATGTAAAGCCAGAAAAGGGCTGGGCTCAAGAAGAAGGTGTTTTAATGTGATTGCTTCCTGAATTCAGAGCCATTTTTGCAGAGAAAATAAACATCTGCAATTGGCCCCAGCAGGGTGTGGTTGTAGGAACGTCTTCTTACACATAACATTCAAGTCTATTTCTGTATTTGTTCCTTGCTCTCGACACACACCGAAGCGTATGAACATAGCATTCTTTTTTGGATGGATGAGTGGGTGGGTGGATAGATGGACAATTAAATAGGAACTGCTGCATCAGCCATTGATTTTTAATAACAATCAAACATATAATTAAAATGTGCTTCAGCTATAAAGTCATAATAATCCCTTCATCTCCCAGGGGCTGAAGTCATTTATGACATGAAGCTATTTCCCTGCTTATATTTATAAAGATGTAATGTTTCATTGTACCTTACGTTTTTAAACTTCATATTGTCCGTTATTCAAGCACACGTAATAATTTTTTTTTATTTTTCACTGTAATTCCAGCAGCGAGGTATGACTTCACATATCTGTTTTGGAGTTTGGCAGGTATTCAGTGGTACCTTCTCCTGTTTCTGTTATTTTTGATKATTTATATGTTGCTGTAGCGCTCTGAGGTGCTGGGTTTTCTCACCATTTTAATCGGTGTACCTTTTTTTTGCATAAAAACTATAAATCTGCTTTATTTTTCAACTAAATAAACATTTTAATTGTAATCTTGTAAACTCAGTATCTTACTGTCCTGTGATTGTTGGAGGGGTTATACATTTCCTCATGCGTTGCAGAGACTGTCTTTTTGTCTACATTTTGACCAAGGTATAAAACATTGTGGGACACATTTCTGTTAAAATAGTCACCGAGTTGTGTACCTTATGTTGTATGTGAGGACTACAGCCTCCACTATCCAGGCCAATAACTGGTCCAAACCTGCATATCTTCATTTCTAAGCTACTCGTGCATGTGTGAACAACAAACACGTGCACAGTCAAGAACAGCAGAACATTTACTGTTTTGCATCATGGACTGGTTTCATGCAAATTAATTTAATTATGGCCGGGGCTGAAAACAGTTCTTCAGTTATGTTCAAGTTAGGTACGTTTTTGCAAGAGTTAGATAATAAGTTTAATAGTATATGGAAAATTAACAAGGACTGTGTCAATTTTTACTTAAATGTACCCTGCAGACTACTGTGTACACATACCATGTGTATACTGTATATACTTTGCACATAAAGTATTAAATGTTTGTTAGATGATTTCTTTGTTGTAACAATGGGCCTCATGCAAGAACATGTTCGTATTTTTATCCTAAATTTCTCCTACTTTTGTTCGTACAAAGGGTTCGTACGAACATGTCATGTCAGATTCAACAAACTCTTCTATCTTCAGGAAAAGTGTGTAAATGAGCTGCGTAAATTACACCTGTTCTATCCAGCTGCTCGTGCACGCGAGAGGAGATTAGCATAATTACCACCCCAAAAACACCATATAAGGCTATGTTTCCTGCCTCAGATACAAGGAAGTGTRCATTCATGAAAATGACAGCGAAAGCAAAAAATAAAAACTTTACGAGTTCAGAGACTGAAGTCCGTCTGTCAGAGATCCAGAAAAGAAAATCTGTCATTTTTAGCAGGTCAGCTGTGGAATAAAAAGAGCTGCTAAAAGTATAAACAACTGTGTTAAATCATTTTCATTTATTCAGAAGACACAGCGCTGCGCACTGTACACCCCCGCCCCCTTCAAACCTGAGGTGGTCTCAGGTTTGAAATAAGCATTTTAAAATGTTTTCAAAATAAGTCTGGCACTTTGGAGAAAATCCAGGACTTGATCATATATCCCCTCTGGCCTGGGAACGTCTTGAGTCCCCCAGGATGAGCTGGAAGGTGTCGCTGGGGAGAGCGGGGTCTATTTGCTGCTGCCACCGAGACCTGATCCCGGATAAGCGGCAGAAAATGGACGAACGGACAATTTATATTGTTAGTCTAAATTATTACATTTAAAATTATAACTCTAATTCAAGCAGAATAGCCTATTGTCAACATAATTATGGAGTGTAATTTATTTTCAACTCAAATTATCTTCAAACTAATGAAATATAAAGTTATTAATGAAGAAAACCCGTCTGGATAACAGCAGACTGACTGCTKGTAAAATATACGACAGGTCTGGACCACTCGTAAATTTTGTTCGTATCTGAAAAAAATCTTAGAATACGAAAACATTGGTGAATGCCACAAATTCTCCTAAATCACTCGTACGCACAACTTAAGAACAAATCTGTGCGTACGAACGGTTCTTGCATGAGGCCCATTGCTTCTTGGCAATAAATCTTATTCTGTTGGAAAGTCTGTTTCACTTTTAAATGTTGTCACATTTGTAAGGATCATGCATTTGTGGGATGAGCAGAAGAGCTGAGTGTGTTGCGCACAAGAAGAATGCAGTTTTGCAGAWCTCACTCATGAAAGTAGGCTCTGATTTCAAACAAATAGCTGCACATTTTATTGGTTTCTTGGTCACAAACTGAATTCAGTAAGACTTTCATTATAAACTTGCCTTTTATAACAATTTTGAGTCACCAGCCAGTCTCCAACAGTCACAGCTCAGTAACATACTGGCTTTAGCAGCATTTGTGTTTTGAGTTCAGTTCCAACTCAGCTGAGCTGCAGATAAAAACTGGTAGATTTCATTCTTTAAGAAAATGTTGCTAAGCTACAAAGCATATTTCTGACTGATGTTTTCATTCCAATCCTGATTGTACGGTCATCTTGCTCCAGGTGGGTGAAGACAGCTCCAACAGGAAGTTTTTGATCAGCCGACTGTTTGACGTTGCCGAGGGTTCCACGTTGGAGGAATCATCCAGCAGCTGCATCCGACTGGAGTGGAACAAAGGCATTGTGGGACATGTAGCTGCCACAGGACAACTGCTCAACATCAAGAACGCGTACGAGGTGAGCGCTTTACTCTGTGGAGTGTCAGGGTTTTGATATTTATACTGCCGTTTGACCAGCGACAGCATGTGTGATGCTGGTGTGCAGTGTGAGTGTGTGCCCTTGTTTTTGCTACTTGGTGGGGACGAATTTTCAGGAAAATGCAGCCTCGTGGGACCGGATGCTCCTTGTGTGGACCAAAGCCCAGTCCCCACAACTTTGGAGGCTGATTTTGGCGGGTGGGGGGCGCATTAGGACCAAGGTGTGAATGAATTTAGGTTAATTTTAGGGCAAATAGTCAGYGTTAGGATATAAAATTTCCAAAAAATTAATAGAAGTCAATTGAAAGTCCCAACAAGGATAGAGAGGCATAGTAGGTGTGTGTGTGTGGGTTTGTTTTTGGTGACATTTGGGGAAAATTTTAAGACAAAACTAGGGATGCACGATATATCGGCACTAATATCGGTATCGGCCGATATGTAAAACTGGGCCGAGATTGATGTCCGATATTGATTTCCCACTTTTTAACTTTGTGTTTCTGTTTTAGTAGGTAAAATGCTTGGTCGAGTGGTATCTTTTTAATCCTGATATTAATATTGATGCTGTGTAGCCAGAAATAACTGAAGTAGAGTCATGTCAGAGGTCTGGTTGTTTATTTACGGTATTGAAAAAAGACACAAGTGTGTTTGTGCATGTATGTACGTATATAAATAATTTGCGTGTTTGTGTAATATCGGTAAATATCGGTTATCAGCCATAACAGCAATAATTATATCTGATATCGATATTGGCTGAAATTTTCATATCGTTGCATCCCTAGACAAAACACCTACATTTGGGGACCTAAAGCTGAAAACATACTCCCCGTGAATTGCCGATGTCGGCACGGGTTGTCGCAGTTTAATGACGAAAATTACGTCACCGGGCTTCTCAGCATCGTGTCGACAGCCTCTTTTGGCACAACCTCCTGGCAGATCTTTTTGACCCCCCTCCCGTGTCGACAGTAATGTGTGATTGGTTCGTGGGCGTTTGTTTGTGCTAAACTGAAAGCGCTCGGACGGACACAGCAGAAGAAAAAAAAACTCATTTCTGACTAGCAGACTGTTGAAGCAGTTTTAAATATAGACAAATGGAGAAAAACTCATGCGTGGTTGTGCTGAAAGCACCATGCGCTGCATTTACTTCAACTACTCGGTAAAAAAAAAAGGGAAAAAAACCAACTTGCTCCCCGAGCCGACCAGGAAGCAGAGTTTTGTACCGTGAAAAACTCACGAATGGAGATTAAACAGATGTGCATGAAGGAATCTGACTGATAAAAACTGTGGCGCTTTACCAGGACCGATGTGGATAAATATGTTGGGTGAGTGACTTTTTTTTCTGTACTGCTGTTGCGGGGAGAAATTCCCTGCAGTGACATATGTTTGAGCGGGAGGTGGAGTTTCCCCGAGCAAGGCATAGAGACTATGAAAGGTCTGTACGAAAATGACTGCCGAATAACCAAGTGACTGTGCGTCGATCCGTCYGTGTCGGAGCGAGTATGTTTCAGGCTCAAGTCGAGTCCTCGTTTGGTTTAAATACCATTGGAGGGTTGGGGGTTGGGTTTAGGACCAAGGTGTGAATTGAGTTTAGATTAGTTTTAGGGTCAGGTAGGGTTTGCTACATTGTGGGAACCATTTTCCAGAAAAATGCAGCCTCATGGGGACCAAATGTGCATTATGGGGACCAAAACCCGGTCCCCACAGG